GGGACGGGCCGGGGGTGCCCGGTGCTGACGGCGCTTTCTCGCCTGTCCCGCCAGTGCCGCAGCTGCTGTACGGAGGGAAGCTGGATTTCCTCGTCTTCGATTACCTGTCCGAGATCACCATGTCGCTGCTGACGGCCGCCAAGGCCCGGTCTCCTGTAAGTAGAGCCGGTGTCCGACCCCGGCGTGCTGGGCTTGGCTGGGGCGGGTGCGCTCCGGTACTTCACAAGTTCCCGAGCTCTTCTTCAGCCCGAATCGCGCCCKAAGCCGGTTGAAGACATACCTGTTTACGGAGACACGGTTCCTTAAGTGTACCTTCTACTCACATGAATTTATTTGCCTCTGTTCAGTCTCATGTAGTGAAAGTATTCATGCCGTTTCCCATCGCRTTACCAAACATTTTGAGCGGTAGTTGTTCTTCCGTGCTTTCTGTATTAACCAAGGGAAGGGATTGGGTTGACTTACCTGTAAGAAATGGTTACATCTCTTAATCATTTCAGCTTTTAGGTTACACTCCGGATTTTGTCTCCACTGCCATGGCTCCCTATATAAATGACATTCACAGGAAAGGTATGCTACTCCTTGCATGGATTTGTTTGTAAATTCAGTACACGTGCTTATGAAGGCAGGCTGAGTTGAGGCTGTTCAGTCTGGAGAAGAGAAGGCTCCAGGAAAACCTTTCTGCATCTTCCAGTACCTAAAGCGGGGCTGCAAGAGAACTGGAGAGGGACTTTTTACAAAGATGTGGAGTGACAGAAGAAGGGGGAATGGCCACAGACTGAAGGGAGGGAAGATTTAGATTAGGTACTAGGACAAAATTCTTTACTGTGAGGGGGGTGAGGCACTGGAACAGGTTGCCTGGAGAAGTCGTGAATGCCMCATCCCTGAAAGTCTTCAAGGCCGGGTTGGATGGAGCCCTGAATAATCTTGCCCACGGCAAAGTACTTGGAACTAGGTGGTCCTTTTAGGTCCTTTTAACCCAAACCATTCTAGGATTCTATGAAAAATCCCATTGGAATTGATGTGGGATACAGGTGTGATGGTGAAATTGGGTAGATTTAAGATATTGGCGGTAACTGTAAACGTAAACATCTATTTCCATGTACCTCTTGCTATAGCTTTAATTTGTGAATGGAAAATAGCAGATCTTTTTTTAAAACATGAGATTTAGATGTTTTCAAAGTAATTAAAGTTTTTTGAAATTCCAGCATAGTACAATATGACTTTCCAATCACTCTTTTCTTGTTACATCAGTAAAGCTTCACTGTGTGTTCTGGTGTTCCTGTTCGACCCGTTCAGTGCTGTCTGCCTGCCTCATTACATGTGTCTTTCTGGTCACTTTCTCCTTCCATTCATAAAGGATAGATAAGAAATATCTATAGCACTTACTCTTCTCTAAACAATTTTGTATTTGCTTATTCTGGTCCTTTCACAGGTTACATGTGGTTCATTTTAATGTGGTTTTGCTTGATTGAATGTCTGCCACCTTGCAGAGGTGATACCTTGGTTGTGTTTCAGCACGTTTAAAGCACACGTGCTTGATTATTGATGCTGTTGAATTTAATTTGCCTTTTAAAATTTTTTTTTATTAGGTGTTCGTGTCATCAGTAACGCTGGTGGAATTAATCCACTTGCTTGTGCAGCTGCCCTTCAGGAAGTGGCAAAGAAAGCAGATGTTGATTTGAAAATAGCAGTTGTTGCTGGAGATGATCTGATGAGTGAGGTATTTCACTTTCACTTTGTTCTAAGCCTTTGTAGCGTTAATCTGTGTAGCTTGAAGGTGGCATTTGCTGTCCCATAGGAACAGGGGCATTGTGTGTCTATGCAATAGTCTTCTATTATCAAAAGCATTATTCATCATTTTCTTTTCATTTTTTAATGCATTAATACAATTCTTGGCACGTCCTATGTTTGATATATGATGGGAGTGAATTTTATATTCTTGTGTATCTGCTATTTCGCGTTTTGAAACAAATGTTGATCTGCTGTAAGGTCTGCCTGCTCTTTAGGAGGAGMTGTAATATTTTATAGCTCTTGTCTAACCTAGATAATTATACATGTTAAATCTACTGAGTATGGTGTAGCTACTACACATTCAAATGTTTATCCCTTTTAGCTTTTTTAGTCGTTTACAGGCATTTCCTGATTTTACTTTGTTTATAGTTTTCTTCTTTTCTGATTTTTTTCTATTATTATTGGCTATTATTTTGATTTTTTTTTCTGGTTTTCTGATTAGTTTACAGCCAGTAAGGTAATGTTAATAATGAGAAGAATGAAGTTTAAAAATTGAAAGATGAAATATATGCGGTTCTTTTACTTGAAGAATTAGACTTTATGAAATCTGCAAAAAATGTTTGCCATACCTGAAAAGGTACTGGGAAAGCAGTTTATACATAATAATGGTTAAGAGGGGAGAGGTTTGCACTGTGGTTAAATCTCTGCCTGTAACTTGGAAAATTRTTTATCTGTATAGGATCTGTTACTCCTTGCATGCTCTTGAATGTGGAAGATCATGAAGTAAGATTTTTCATTTGYAAATTATGTGCAGTGCTTGGACTTCCTTTTAACAAACTTCTGTCCTRCTGAAATTATTGTCTGTGGGCCAGACTTTCATACTGGTACAACAGTGAAATGGTTGTTATTTKAGCTTGTTATGGACATGCCTGATCTGAAATGCTTTATTTACTATGCTACTGTCTGTACATAACTTACATGAACAAAAAAGAGTCTACAGTATACTGTCAGGTTTTACTGTTGATGGAACATGGTAAATTAACTAGGAAATGTAACTTATAATTTGGAGGATTTCAGTCATTAACGTAGAATACCAAATTAGTTCAGAGTGGAAGTTTTTCTTTTGCCACACCTGTAAGTTTTTGCATGGACATTGTGTCTATGCAGTCATCGTACCCTCAATTCACTGGATTGCCAGCCTGCATGGTTAAAAACAACCCCTCAGCCCTTCCTTCCCTGGAAATACAACCTATTCTATCTAAGTATTWTATGGAGCTGCAGGATTGGCCTGTTCTCTGGTCATGACACCATTGCAGTTGTGGCAGACAAATTCCTGCTCGCAAGGTTTGATTTATTTAGGCTTACAGCAATTAAAGACAGTTTAAAGCCTAGAAAACGCACTGGTTCATTGTAGTTGGTCACATGTGAAAGAACTCACATTCCTTAAAGACTGGCTTAGTTTTCTGTGTGCTGGAAAAGTTGTGGTTAAGAGTGTATCTAAGGCTTTTAGCCATTCAACTGATTTGGATTGTTAATACTTTGCTTAGAGTTGCTATGAAGTGTATCTATTGTTTGATACTAATGAAAAGCTTTCAGTAGAAACTTTAAAATACTCACAGCTTGAGTGTTCTGCTTGTTTTCTAACAGAACGAGAACTTAAAAGGAGCTGGTATCACCGATTTAGAGAGTGGCAGACAATTTCCAGAGAATATTCACAGCATGAATGTGTATCTTGGGTGAGTTGATTTAGCAAGTTGTATTTATTATGAACAACTGAATTTAACACATAGATACRGGCATTCATTTTGCTTTGCAATTAGAACCACTGAGTATACAAGGTTCATCTTTGAATTATTCAAGARACCAGAATAAAAATTCGTTTGTAAYTTGTAAATAAGTTTTAGTTTATAATGTCGTAAGTTAGGACTCCTTAGCAATACAGCATGTGTAAGTCATCAGGCSTAGCTGAAACCAAAATAATGTTAGTTTAATTACAACAATTGCAAAAGTGCTTTTTCATAGTGCTTTTTCATATGCTGAGTGTTCTGTTGCAGCATGGAGTAGTTTAGAGTGTTGTCACTAGAGAAGTGCAAGCGAGGAATTCACGTCCTGGGACATAGAGTGCCATAGGAGGTTCTGTTAGGTTGCTCTGAACTGCCTGTGTCAAGCTTTCTACTGCTGAAATTTTGGAAACTGGCTTTTCAGCATAGTCGTTATTTTGAAACATCTCCCTTTCCTCTGTTACGATACTTGGGGTTTCCATAAATCTCTAAATGCAGGTGTTCTAGCTACCTCTTTGTGAGCACTTGCATTTTCATTGTGACCATTCACTTCATTGAATCAATGTCAATCGGGTCTAGTAAAGGGGAAGATCTGAGAAATGGGACAATGGTCCCATGTATCTCTTTCTCTTGATGATCCTGGTGATTCTTGCACAGTGCTCGTGAAGCTGGACAATATTCCAGGTTCTTAAATCACTTAGGTAATTGACCTGAAAGGTTTAAAATTTGAAGTCAAAGTTACCAGGCTTTATCTATGTAGAATATTCATCTTTATACACTGATACACAAATTAAATGATTAATGAAACTCTGAAAAACACTCCTTTCTGTAATTAATAGAAGTGTCTCTCTCTGCACTTTGTTCAAGAAAGTTTCTATGGACATCAAGACAAGTGTTTCAGTCATGTTATTTAGGTATCTGAATTTGATAGTGTCCTGTTGACTGCTCTTTAAAATTCTCTTGATGTGAATCCATAACAACAGGTTGGTTGCTAAAGTTGATTTTATTGATTTCATGATAAAATTTTAAGTGAATTTTAACCTATGTGTGCCAGGGAACTATTTTTTTAAATGATGTGTTAAAAAGTGAAAGTTCTTACTGCTGTGKATTGTCATTTTTAGTGCAAGACCAATAAGCAGAGCTCTAGACCTTGGAGCTGATATTGTTGTGACGGGCAGATGTGTTGACAGTGGGATTGTATTGGGACCACTCATTCATTCTGTAAGTAGAAGCCAATTTCTTTATGATAATGAATATATGTGAATGAATATTCAGCRGTCATTGTCAGACCATTTTTGTTCCTTATGAAAATGTAGATACTAAGTTTTAAAAAATTGGCATCTATGGGTTTTTTTCTTACATACATGRAAAGTTGTCAGCTTCCACTTCTAAATTTATAGCAGGTATATTTGTTAACTTGTATACCATCCAGCTGGCAAAAATAAGGTGAAATTAAGGAACTCTTAGCCTCTTTCACTAGTATTTCAGTTTTACCATTTGTTTTGGGKTTTTTTTCCCTTGCCTTTCTTYCAAATTTGGTGTGCAAGTATATTTTTCTTTACCACAAGGTGTCGATAGTAGAGCTTGCTCTGATTGGGGGGCAGCCTGTGAGGTGGTTTAAAACACTGTTTTTTTTTTCTTCAGAGGGTAAGAAGTTTTGTTTAAAGTAGTCAAGTTTCAATGCACATTTCTGAAATGCTTTGAAATTCAAAAAAATATGCAAGCATATGATACAATTATTCAAAATTTATATGAGTTTTCTGAAGTATTTTTAATATGTTTTCATGAATTTTTGTGAAGGATCACACATGAAATACGGAAGCTTTCTTTTGGTGCGTATTTAAAAAACATGGGAGGGTGTGTGTCTGGTGTGTTTCTAAGACATTATATTCTTTTGACTTAATGTGTGTCAAACGTTAACCTAATTAATTTTGCACTTATCATTTCCATTATTATTTGTTACTTTATGCCTAGCTGTTTGCATTCTCAAAGTAACAACTGTCAGTGTGTATTACCTATTCCAGGAAGGCCTTATCYAATTTATTGAAAGGTTTTGGAAGATTTCTACAAAGTGCTAAATGAGAAACAATTGCTCTATTGCTTGCACTATGTTGAACTTGGGAAAAACATTCTAATTAAAATTTCTAGTTGAACAGAAAGGATACTTCCAGTTTTTAAGGATGACTGGTGTTATTCCAGGAACTGATAATTTTCAAAAGTTGGGAAAACACAGTGATTTGTTTAGGTGACACAAGGTTGGTACTGGACTTTTAAACCTGTAGGTTGTGCAGGTTTTAATTTATATGGATGTTGCAGTTCCATTTTTTTTGGATAGGGTATGATTTTATACAGTCCATGTACAATGCCTGTGAGATATTTATTGTTCTTTAGATTCCTATAGTTAAGCAAAAATAGATCAATTAATTGTTACTCAAAGCAATGAACATACTATGTGCRGTTTTCTGTACTGTATGAAACTTCTGTGTATTTAAAATATTTGTGTTTTTCTTCTAGTTTGGCTGGAATAGGGATGACTATGACTTGCTAGCTGCGGGAAGGTAAATGATTTAAGAAGAAATTGGGTAAATTTATATTTCATATCGTAATATCAAAATACCAACTTTTTCAGCRCATAGTGATTTTTCATATTATCATKAAATTCATTTATTTTAARGTTTTTGTAAGGTTTTGAGTTCTYTTTTAAGGCTCACTTACTACTCTCACTTGGAATTTAAATTATAGAAATATCATTCTAAAACCAGCTTAAAAGAWCAGTTTAACTTTCTGTTCATTTTCTGTCTAGAGATGAAATCTTACAGTAYAGACCACTGATTCCCAGCTTTTTCTGTTTGGCTGTCACTGTTGGTGGTTGGGAYGGTTGTAGGTCTTACTCTGAAAGATGCACAAAAGCAGGTTCAGTCAGAGGGCAGCATCCCGGTATGGTTTTGTAGAAGCTCAGTGTCAGTACTCCCATTTGGAAATCCTTGTTGTAGTTCTAAGGTTAGGAATGTGATCCAGAAAGCACAAAGTAGAATTATGCCACCTAATTTAACATTCTGCATCATCTGTCTGAGTTGAGGTCCCCATAAAAATGAGTGATTGTTTAGATGATAGCCTGAGCACACTCAGTACTAGTGTACTTGAACCTTTTGTTGCTTGAGAATGAACGTGGAGAGAATTCATTTAGGCTCCACTGAGTTGGGGATGATACAGATGAAGATTTTCTCCATAATTCTGTGGAATATTTATAGACTATCACAATCAAAATTTGACAGTAGTAATGCATAATCATAATACATTTTGTCCTTCATATGGGAGGTGAGATCTTCTGTCTCTTCGTTTAAAATTGGGCTTTGTCTAGTTGCACACAGTTCAGACTGCAAGGATACTGAATTTATATCAAGACCTGAAATAACTAAGGAAACTTGKTTTTAGCTGTTAGATAATCTCTTAAATTTTCTTTTTTTGCAGGAAAATTCTTTTTRTAAAAGTTAGTCCTTTAAACAATATATTCATGCTTCAGAATCCCTTGTTACACTGAATGCATAATTTGTAATTGTATTAGATACTTATGGAGGAAAAYGACATGTTTTGTTATTTGGCTCTATTTGCACTGTACTGTTGTATTTTAAAGCTGGAGATGCGAAAATGGATTTTACTTTCTATTTAGTTATTTTAATGTGATTTTCCCAGTCTTGCAGGTCATCTCATTGAATGTGGTGCTCAGTGTACAGGTGGAATATTCACGGATTGGCACACAGTACCAGACTGGTAGGTAAACTTGACACCAGCATGCATGTTTGTAGTGGACCAAAGATGAGATTTTTTGCTTATATCTGTGTTGTGAAAACTGCTTCTACCTTACACTTTTGGGGCAGGCAATATGGGCCTCTTGATATTTTGCCACTTCARTATTACCTTTCTGCAAGTACTTACTTTTCTGTTTTCCCTATTGAAGTTTTCCTTTTTGATCAGATAGGATCTTCCTTTTGTTTAATTCAGCAGATTTTGAAAAAAAAATTAGCCCTTTGATGATTTTTTCCCACTTTTTTGACTATTTTTTCCCGTTTCCTTTGTTATCCTCTGCCTTCTGAAAAGATTTATTACTAACTTTCATGCATGATTGTAATGGAAAATACAATACTGATATTTTGGATGCTGTTACATTAGTCTTCAGATTTGCCTACTGGTCAGTCACAAATTTTACATCATTTGCTTTGGTAGGGGTGAATATGTGCTGCAGTTCTGTCCTGCTGAATAACCTGATAAACACAAATGTGTTCAGCAGTCAGGCCTGCCAAAAAGTTTTGTGTGTATCTTGTATTCAGACCTTTTGAAGTAGAGTTTCATGTAGGTGTATTGTTCTGCCTGCTGGGGGAGCCTGCTTTTTACCGACCTGCTTTTAAGAGTAGTTTAAAAGTAATTGGGGAATACATTTTTTGYATAAGATGAGTGGTTCTGGCTGCAGTTACTTTCGTATTTTTGGGATGAGAGGGAGGAATCTTCTCCYGTGCTGTATCATGAGAATGGCAGTGCTTCTTTTATGTGATGGAGGAAAGGGTGGAAGAGCAGTGGGTGTATGCAGGAGAGCAGAGTGCTTTAGTACAGCTTTAACACAGTGTTCTGCTCCCAAGCTGACTCTGATCCAGGTAGATGAACCAGCGGGACTGTGCACTGCTATCTGAAGAGMCCTAGGGCTTCCTGGATTTTTTCTTTTCTCTCTAGTGACTTCTGATTCAAAGTGTGATCCCAAAAGATGTGTTCTGCTTTTCTCAGTTCCTGAATGTTGCTGATTTAAAGCTGAACACATGGCATTGAAACAAACAGGGTCAGACATTTCTTCTCACCTATTAGAAGGCTACTAGCCCTGAACAAACTGCATTCACTCTTCACTTCTGTGTTTTATGGGAAATCCGAGGAGAGAATTGATAATAACGAGTCACTCTGTTTGGTTTGGAAATTTGTAATTCCTGTTCTGAYGTCTCTGCCAATTATTTAATTATGCTGTATCATAAAACATCTTAAAATCTGTGTGACTCCAGAAGACCTTGCTTTATGAAAGAATTAAAGTGAAAAAAAACAGAATACTAATTTTCTTATTAAAATCTTTGGTGGGTCTTTATTTTTAAGGGTTTTTCTGTGTGRAATATCAAGCTGTCTTAAGATAGAAAATTTGAGTATATTAAGCTGTGAGCTTCTGGAATGGTAATAGTTAATTTTACAGATGAGTATATGTAGATGAATATGCATAGCTATTGGTAGTATATCTGTAAAATCGCAGAACTTTGTCTAAAATCAAAGTAGACTTGTGGCTTAGASCTGGTTGGTGCTGAATTGAATCTCTGTTAAAGAATGTAGAATGTCGAAGTTTAACACTGTTCTGTTACCTTCCCCATTGATATGCACACACACCTTAAAACCATACATGATTGTATTTGTGCTAATATAACATGAATYTACCTTCAGTTAAGTCTGCTAATGAATTGATCATGGTGCCTTAAAACTAGACAGTTTGTTTGCAAATTTCAAGACTTAGACATACAATTGATTAAATTCTTGAAATAAAACCATGTCACCCATCAGCCTGTCTGATGAGCTCCTTAAACTAGTCAAAACCAGAATAATGTGTAAGCTTTGATTTTAGGTTTGGARATGTAGAGTGGAGATCCACTTCACTGACTGAAGTGGATTTGGGATCCGGCACATCCATTTAGGATATGGGGAGAAGGAAGGCAGGGAGGAGATTAATTCGATAAATTTTGGTTTCCTGATAAATACTTGTTTACTATAGGCCCAAAAGCATGAAGGGGAAAGCTTTTGGGCTGCAGAAGAATGCGGTTTCTATTTAATAGTTTTGTAGTAACCTGTTCACTCCTTAACTTAAAGAAACTTGGTGGTATGGGGTTTTTGTTACTTAGACAGTCTGAATCTGTATTGTATGCATGCAGATACAAATACATTCATAAAAATGTATGATAATAACATGGTATCTCAGTCTAAGGAGTGACCAAAACATGCCCTAYCTGCTGCCAACACTAGCTGTATTGCAGATATGTCAACAGAGCTCTGACAGAGTTTGCAGATGTTACTTGACTCTATCTGTTAATGATTTCTCCCTCATTTTAGGAAAAAAAATTTAGCAGTCTCCTGAAAGTAAGTGTGTGGAATTTAAAWCTCAATAAATCATTGTGCCTGTGATACATAATGTTAAATCCAAACCAGCCCAACTCARTGAGTAAATAGGAGGGGGAAGAAGCCAAGTTAAATCGGTGTTTGTCATTCATGTATCTTTCACATACGAATTTCGCATTGCTGTGTGTGCGTTTGTGCAGCCAAGACCAGAAAACTTATCCCATGCACTTACTGATGTCTGGTGATTGAACACTGGAGGGCAGCCTCCCTCCTCCTCATGCCTTGCTGCAGAGGGCTAGCTTGGTTAGCCTTAGATTGGGGTCATTTTTTTGACTGCTTTTGGGGTTTCTTTTCTTCCCTGGAGCAGTAATCCATGTAGCTCTTCTATCTTTGGCTGGTGAAAAAGATGTAAGTGTACTGCCAAGAGAGACTGATGGGTATGATTTTTTCTAACTTGTAAACAAAACCCCAAAGTATTAATTACACTTCAGGTTTGTAAGTCTTATCGCTTGTTTATGCATAAGCAATTGACTTGAATTAATYTAAATGAAGCCAGGCAAGTTAGAGCTTACATTCTATGCATATGCTATCATGTCTCATATTGAGGCACTGGACTGAGTCCACCTCATTTGTTCAATRTAGTTTAGTTGGTGGGTTTTTGGTGTTTTGTGGAGGGGGGTTTTGTCTGTTTGTGTTTCATTTTCTTGAAATGTTTGATGCAGATACTTCTGGCAATTCAATTCCACTGCAAAAGAATGCTTTAAATCTCAGGCATATTTGTGTGGATGTATTGTGGCTGTTTAATGGTTAAGTATTAAAACATAAGCTATTCTTTCATTTTCTCTGTTCTCTCAGAAAAGTGAGGTTTTTTAATATAAAATAAGTGAAGTGCATGTTCCTACTTGGGACTCTCCCAAGTTACTTCAGTTGATAGAAGCCAAATTTACTTTTCTTTCTGTGTATTGACCTCAGGCAGTGGGATTTCTTTATATGTACTGGGTGTGTCCTCTTAATGCATTTGACTTTAAGGTGAGAGTCTTGAAGCTGTAAAGTTACATACAGTTTTCATAGGAAACAGGCATACAGGTAGAGGGGATAGATGCTTTATTCTTTCAGTGAGATGGTGGCTGCTTGACTCTCCTTTTGTGAATTCTCTGATGTTTAGCAAAGAGAGTGCAAGAAACCATTAGTTCATAATCTATAGAAGAATAATGTGCATTCTTCAATGCTGATTTTAAGTTACTGTTATCAGAAAAGGCACTTCCTCCTTTTCTGTTATTTGTACAGTAATAGCAGATGGGCAGCAGAAGTGATAATATGTCACTGCTCCCTATTTAATGTCTAGTTTGCGGCTTCCAGAGGGGAATTCATCCCATGTGTCAAGATTAACTCTATTGCCAGAACTATATTGATAATGCACAGCTCTCTATTTAATTTCATTTGTCCCCACACATTGCTGTCTCTTACTATTATTTAGTGCCAGTGGTGATTAGTACATTGTTTTGTTTTGTTTTGAAATGCAGGAGAGAATAAACTAAGGCTGATCAGTAGAGTAATCATTTTGAGGAGATGATAAACACTGACATTTTACCCTAAGCCAGGAGTGTACATTGGTTGAGACTGCATAATCCTCTGGCCTGTGATGACAAAAAGGGTAAGTCAATAGCTGTAGTCTCTTAAGGTCTGGATCCAGATTTCTTAATTTGGGACTAGAACAAAATCCAGCATGCAAGTCCCATTCAGCAGTGTGGAATGTTTTTTTCTCTGTAGCATCTGTTCCAGGCAGCTGAAAACAGGCTGGTCTCTGTAGCTTGAAATTGTCTGGCCATTAAAAATTTAGGTACAAGACATAGTCTGAAATGCCCTAGTAAGAGGGGATAAGTGATGCAGTCAATAAGTTTTGCCTAAAGCAGACTTGCTTGTTAGGAAGCATTTTGGTACCTACATGTAAAGAGGTGCTTTTACCTTTCAAGTTTCTGCTGATCTTGCCTGATAGTTACCAGTTTTGAACGTGTTGCCAAAATACTGGTAGAAGTGCTAGCAGCTGCTACATTTTGCTTGATAGCATTCTGGTTAAAATACATACCTAGGGAGTTGAGAAGCTTGGCTTAGAGCTCTCCTTGGTGTTACATTCACTGAGTCACGTCCCAGGAAACTGCATTAGCTGGAAAGCTGAAAGTTCATACCACAGCTTACTTGGATCCTGGTTCACTTCCATGTCACATGCATTGCTGTGGCTTTTGTATTTTCTTTCTCACAGTAACTTTGCCTGCAAGTAAATGTGCTACACTAACTGTCATGTCTTCTGTTGCCAGTAATCTCAGTCCAGTAGTGGTGACTAGAATGAGATATTTAAGGGATTGGACACTTTCTGAGGGGAAAAATACATGATCTATCTGTCTTTCTCTCTGAGCCAAATAYTGGTTATGGATTTCACTTTTCTTGTAATGCAAATGGTGTAAGAAGTATGGCAAAACAAGAAGGAAGGTTGCCTTGATGGCTCCTCAGAGGCTGAGCAGTGCATTGTCCCAGAGTAGACAGGGAGGAGAAGCCTGCTTAGCTCAATTCATCACCTATGACATGCCCATAAACTGTAACATTTCTGAGCCAAAACTGAAGAAAATACAGCATGGAAAAAATTAATCCAAGAGAAAGTTGTTGGCAGGCAGRGAACTGACAGGAGACTGAGTTTCAGAGTCTTGATTGCTGTAAGACTAACTTGATGAGATGGTGGCTTCAGCAGCAAAACCAGTTTTGTGACTTGATTAGCCCTGTGTTGTAGGTCTTCACTAAAACTGTTAGCTCCTGTCTACCCCCAGCTTAGAGGGGTTTTCTGAGGTGTAATCTTAGCTTGGTTTTATCAGTGCTCTGATTTATTAATCTGTGTAATGTATTTACTTGCTAAATAGCAAACATGCAACCTAAAATCGACCTTTTAGATTAAAAAATAGTAGTTGTCATCACCCTTCACAAACTGATGTATATTGACCCTATGCTAAAAAAATGCTTAAATATTTTAAAATATAATACTATATTAAAAGTACTGTTTCATATTTATCTCTAGTACTGTATTTTATTAATTTATAGAATTTAATTAGAATTAATTGTAGTAGTTCCCTTTCAGAACTGTTTCCATTGATTGATACTGCCTCATTTTACATAGGGATTTTGTTACTAAACTGATACAACTCTTTTACTGCTGAAGGATGCCACTTAGCCAAGGTGCCTTTGGATGCCATGACCATAGCTGCTGCAAAAGTTCATAATTTTGTGGTTATTTTCCTGCTACACTATACAAAAGTACAGCTTGGCTATGGATTATGTACGGCCTAAAGTTGGCATGTTCCCCACAGAGGAGATGTCGTATGGTGTGTAGTCATTCAGCAAAGCCTACAAGTGAATCMGGTAAAGAGTCACTCTTTAAAGATGTGCTGGGTCAAGGTGGTGGCATACCTGATGCTGTTTATGCCAGGTTTAAGTAGATGTCACTTTAGTGGATCATAGGAGTTACAGACCAGTTGGTTTCGAAGCTGAAAAATAATTTTAAGTTATGTCTTTTAGCAATTTACAAAATACATTTTTCTCTTAAGTGTGCATATGTTATTGTGGGTTATTACTGGCATCTGCTACAAGGTAGTACTGGATATATGTATGGATTTTCCCAGTCAMCCAGTTACAATAGAAGTAGAATTCAGGGGCTTCTTGCCCACATCATTGCATCTCTGTGTTGTGAATTGTTTAAAAAGGTGAGGGAAGCTTTCAGCATAACGTGAGGGAACACACATCTTCTGCAACTAACTGACCATACAGGAAAGTTTATTGGSTTGTGGTGTACCCTGGTGGGGAAACAATATTTGCCAAATTGGTGCCATTTTAAGGGGTRAAATCTCTCACTTTGTCTCACTATTGTATTTGGGTTTTGTTTTTAATAGTTTGGGTTTTTGAAAGTGGAAGTTCTGCAAAATGAAGTTGAATCGATGATAGTAGACTCAGTGGTTCAGAAGGAAGTTGAGTGTCTACATTTTACTTCTTCCTTCAAAACAAAGCTCACTGGGGAGTAGGTGCAGGAATGTGCTGTAAGAGTTGCATGTGCTGGTGACTGAGATCGGAGTGGGCTGCAGCYGGGACAGGGGCTGACAGTGCAGGGAGATGGGCTGCACTGGGTCATGTGTCTTCATGGGAGTGGTACCTCTTTCGGGGAGGAGGTCTGAGTGGGCTGCATTGAGTCTGCTAGCAGGGCACTTGGTGCTGTTGTCTTGAAACAAGACAGATAAAGGTGGGGTCAAGCACAAAAGCATGGCACTGACAGGGTAAAAGCTTCTTAATTCTAGCTTTGTGCAGTCATTGATTCTGCTTTGTTACACTGGAGAAATCATGATGCTTCCTGTCTATGTCTCCTTATGTCTAGAATTGGGATAAAAATGCATATTTGTTACCATACATTAAAATTCAGGACCAAGAATTGAGAGGTTTTGTGTGTGTTGTTTTTTTCTATGTCACGCTAGTATTTTGGATATTACATACTTCCTGGTATCATCTTTTCTCTCTCCAATTCCCCTCAAACCAACCCCCCTTCCCCCACTGGAATAATCAGTGTATAAAATCATTAATTCCATTGAATTGTTTGCATTCACCAGGGTGGGCTTTTTTGTATCCTGTGTCTGGGTAGTAGTTTAATTAGTTTCAAAGGCCAGTCAAATGAAGTATTATCTTTACAGACTTGATGTGGGCTTTCCTAGGTGTCCACTAGCTACCATACTTTTCAAATTTGTGTGCTCTAAGTGTTGAAATTTGCTGATCTCTGGTAACAGATCTTGTATCTTAATCCTCTTTTTTTAAAATAATGGAGTTATGTTTGAATATTCTCAATGATAAGGAATCTGCTGAAATTCCCATGAACTTTTGCGAATGTCCCTTAGGAGTTCACTGCTTTTTTTTGCTTACTTTCTTCCAGACTTTGTGGATTTATGTTATACAAACTGTGTTCATGTAACCTTCACTGATAACCAGTTCATTTGTATGTTCAGCACATTGTTACCACTAGCACCCAAAAATAATTAAATTGAGGGATGGACTAGTTTTAAGTTTGTATGAAAAGACCTCATGTCTTTTCATTGATTGAAATGAAAAATGAAATGAAAATGTCTTTTCATTCATTGACCTGATGTCAATCATCATTGACTTTAATGATGTGATGAAGTTTACCACCTTTCYTTATTAGAACCTTTTTAGAACAGTTTGGCTTTTGAAAGGGCCTGTATCTCTTTAACTCCCCTTTTTGTGTTATTTCGTGTCTCCGGGACACTTGTACAAATTTCAGTCTTTCTGTGAGAGGAGAGTGAGCCAGGTAGCTGTTTTAGAAGAATATTTGCACTCTTACCTAATTCTCAGGTACTTCTAAGAAGTTTTAAGTTCTTAATTTTGCTGAAATTCTCTACAAATAAATGAAAGCCTTTTAGCTAGAAAAACCGATGTCTGGATCTCATCCATATAATCCTGAAAATTCTGCCCTGCTATTGTAATGACCAGTGTGTGCCTCTTACTATGAGTTATTTGATCACTTTTTCTATACTACACTTGTGAGAATGCGAGGAGGAAGAGGAGTATTTTAATGTGTGGACATGTCCATAATTTCACTGCTTTGCCTTGTGCCTTATAATCTTCTATCAGTTCTATCTTCTGTGTGCTGAAGATCTTAACTTTCATATGTCTTTCTGTTTTCTGATTATGACTTTGCCATGTATGATTTATTAACATGTGGAATTATCCTTTGTAGGTGTGATTATTCATGTTCCCTACTTCCCTTCATCTGTGAGGTTCCCAGAACAGTTTGTTCTTCCTGCTTTGACTACCTTTTTACAAATCCAGAGTGCAGGGTGTAGATACATGTCTTCACTGTCTTGCTGTGTGTGCTGCTGTTGTGAAATGGGGCTAGAATTAGCAATTGTTTGTTTTCTTATCTTTAATCATAGTTATTTAATTCTTTCAGCTTCTTTTTACTTGAAGTGTTCCTGTTATTGTTCTTCTCCATTCCCTTCCCCATGTCTGTGTTTGCAGTTGGTATCTATTGTTGTATTTGCTCTACTTTGCCAGGCAGTAGCTATGTCCTCATGTTTTCGTTGAGCAGTTTGTTCAGTGCTTTTTCTTGTGTATGTTACTGTAGAAGCAACCAGATAAATCGCAAGTCCTGGTAAGTTTTATTTAATTGGTCATTACTATGAAATTCTGGTGTGTTGTTAACATTTCTTTTTACTTTTCCATTGTATTTATAGGTTTTTTCTTAATGTTTTTCACATTCTAGGCACAACATAGGCTTTCCTATTGTAGAATGTTCCTCTGAAGGAGACTTTATTCTTTCCAAACCACCAGACACAGGGGGACTGATCTCTTTTGGCACTGTAGCTGAACAGTTGGTGTATGAATTGGGCAATCCTCAGCGCTATCTTTTACCAGATGTTACATGTGACTTTTCCCAAGTTTCCATCACTGAAATTCCAGGTTAGTCGACTTACGTCTATAGATACGTGTCAATGAAGTTTGCTATCAAACAAAAGCAGCTACTTTAATTTCCATACACTCTCTGCATATTTCTTGTTAAATCAGTTCCTTAGAGAGTCATACTGTATTAAACTGATGTTTTCAAGAACTTGTAGAAAYTCCTTTAGAAATTTTAAACATAAAATTTAAACATTATTTATCTTGCTGGCTGACTAATTCGTATTTTTGATCACTACTTCTTTTCCTTTATTTTTTAATGCATGCCGTGCACCTATCAAGTCCTTAAACTGTATTCCATGTGAACAACATTGAGACAGCTTCACTATGATTTCACTATATTTTTAAATTGCAGCGAAATTTCTCAAAATAATGTTATGTACATGTTTTAACTTAGGGCATTTGAAGTGTTAGTAACAATGAAAGGTTGTATCTTTTAAAGCACTCCTTGGTAATGGTGTTTTTCTTAGACATTTAGGTGGATCATAGTAAGTGGTAGAAGCMTGATTTGGCAGGATTTCCACCAGAGAATCTTATTTTTTAAAAAGTCCGTTTCCTATCCTCAAAACACTTAACAGCCAGTAGACTAAATATGGATGTAATGTATGTTCAGGATTTGGCTTCAAAAGCAAAACAAAAAACCCCAGGCTTAACAGATTCAAAAAGCTGTAATTTGAGTAGAGACAGCTTGAAAAAGTTTTATCTCAGTCATCTAAAGTTTGCTTTTTACTGCACCTATATTTTTTTTCATTYTAATGGAACTTACCTGTGACAGTATGCCAAGTGTCTTTCTAAAGCTTAGAACAATTGTAATCTCAAATTAAAAACTTAGTGTGATAAAACCCAAAATGTGGTAACATAAAAAATATTTTGCTTTAGTAATAAAATACCATAACATGGTACAGTGAATCTTCTGCTCATGCACACATAACCCAATGGCAGTCTGATAAGGCCAGCTTGCTGYTCTTAGCCCCTAGTCTTTTTCTTTTTAAAAAAAGAAACCCTAACCTTCCTATGAACTTTTAGCTTGCAAATGACCTGATATGACATGTTTGAACTTCCAGTGAACTTTCACATGAACTTTCAGTTAGTCCTCTTAGAAATATAACAGATGGAAAATGGGCAGATTGCTTAAATATTTTAGTTTGAAGTGCTTTGACACGTACACTAGTAAAAACAGGCAAGCTATCTAATTTTGCTGTTTATATTGCCAGTTTTATTGTTCTGCTGGGTTACTTGCAATGTTTGTGCTGAGAGGTGCTTCTGTTTTCTTTTTGTCAATGGATGCTATGCATTTGGTTTTGTGGTATTTTTTTTCTTTGTATGACTCTTTCACCTGGAACGTGAAACTCTTCCAGATCTTTGCCTTGAATGGAGGGATGTAGCTCTGTATTGAGAGAGTTAAATTAACCTCATGGCAGTCTTGAGAGAGAGTGATGATGTTATTTGAGTGGCATGTAAAATTTGTACTGATCACATTTACTTTTTTAGATATGTTCTGATCTGATCATTTCAGAGTATTTGTGTAAAGCTTTGAACTGCTTTACAAATATTTGCAAGCACAGGTTAGGTACAGGTGAACTACAGTATAATGTTGCCTCTTAAACACGAGGTGATAATTTTCCAGGAGTAGCACCTACTGATTTTCTGCAGTTCAAGCTTAAATCTGATGCAATCCCAGCAATTTTCTCATTTTTTTGGCATTAATATTCCTAATGCTTTACATGGTTATTGCCCTGGAACACATATTCGGACTGTTTTTGATACTGACAAGAAARCTAAAATTAAGTTATCACTTCACTTACTAAACTATCAGCAAATAGCTCTCACTGGTTTCTTACTTTTTGATTCTTCACCAAGTGAGGGACTGCAGTCCACTGCAGCCAGCTACAGTGGATTGTGTGCTCTGTGTGTGTGTGCAATAAATGGATATTAAGTGGAAAATAACTATTGAGTCTAAGTCCTAAGGCTGCTTTCTGTGTTTAGTATTTTTTAAGTGCATGAATAAACATTTCCATCACCCTTTTAAAAGGCTCATGGAAGTCATAAAGTCAATCACCAGTTTTCTGCTGTTCTAAGGCAGGAAGGATTGTTTTCTGAAAGGTTCTCTCTTCTGTGGTAGTACAGCTATTGATGATTTGCTATTTAATTAAGTGCATTTGATTAATACATATCACAAAAGAATGTCCTTGAAGTTATATTCAAGAAGCTTAAATACTGATTTTTAACCCCTATAGGTTTTGATGGTGGAGCAGTGAAAGTTTGTGGAGCAAAGGGATCGCCTCCTTCGACATTTTATAAGGTATTATCTCATTCTGTGAACTGAAAGATACCTTTTGATTTATAAAATCTTAAATTTTGGAGAAAATGCTAAAACTTAGCACTATCCTCTTCTTCTCTGCCCCAAGGGTAAAAGAAAGAGGAGGAAAAACTGAAAAGACAAACCTTATTTGATACATAAAATCCTATTACTTTGTTTAACAAGTGTATATTTGTATAGATAATGATGGCCAGAGAGCATTTATCAGTACTGAATTCCATCTAACTTCATAATCCCTTCATCATTAGGTAAATGCCACTTATCTTGATGGCTTCAGAGCTACTGCTGTCTGTCCAGTGGGAGGTCCAAAGGCAGTACAAAAAGCAAAACGCACTGCAGAAGGTATTTTGCAAAGGTTGGTATTGGAGTCTTGGCAGGGGTTCTGGCTTGCTTTTTTTCCCCAGAGATGATGAAAATAGAACARTGACACAGGATGGCAACATTACTAACCTTGTAAGAATCCTAGAAGATTATAGTTTTCCTGTTGGGATGACATTTCAAAACACAGGCAGCCTGTTCTGAAAACCTATTTTCAATATGTAACTACACTTCAGCTACATTTGACAGAGTGAGAAAGGTCTCAAATGTTTTTGAAAATAGATGGTTGGAGAGTGGAAAGAYGCCCAAATTAGTGAGGAAAAAGCTGTGATTCAGATTAAATTTCATTAGATGCCAGAGATAAACCCATGTGAAACTAGTTTTTAGCAACTTTCACAGAACTTTTCATTAAAAGTCTTAGTGATATGAAATGTAGGCAGTTTACCGAGTTAGTGTATAAAACATCTTTATTTTCCTACCTTTTAAAATGTGACCCAGTGATTGGTTTTTGTGCTAGAACAGTGTTTCAATTCTAAGACAGACTGATAAACCTTCAGTTTGTTATGCCAATATATTTGGGTGAGGAGGGATTCCTCTTAAATATAATTCTGTATGAGGAGTCTCTCAATGCTTACTCYAGTAGTTCATGTTTCTAGTTGTGACCTGTATTTCCTTGTGCCATGTTCTACATAAAGCTTCCTCCTTATCCTCTTGTAGACCCATGCAGACTCTACTCTCAGAAATGCAGAAATGCAAAATTYACTGTGATCTTGGAGTGACACTGCCTGTGTGCAGCACTGTGGTGAAGGAGGAGTTGTCTGACTTCCCTCAAGTGACATGGCAGATGAAAGCTGTGTAAATGTGTAACTGCAAATGCTAAAAGCTTGTGTCCAAGAGCTWTTGAGAAAATCAAATGATGGAAAAATCCTTCAGGAAGTGTTAAATATGAAGACCTGGAGACTCAGAACCTCTGAAAAGCAATCTTTCTGGAAGCTAGGTGATTATTTCAGGAAAAAAATAGAATGGTGTGATTTCCATTTAATGTTTGCTCTTGGGACATTATTTCAACCTGGACTATGTGAATTTTTTGTTTGATTGAAACAGCTTGTGGTGCTACTGCCTCTGTGACATCTAGAAAATTAATTCAGCCTGTTTACTGGGCTCTCTTGAGTCATCAGAAGAAAAACACTGATAGTTGAAGGCTGATTAACTGGTGGGATTAGTGGCCTCTAGCCCATTAGGCATACCTCAGGGCAAGTTCTCTGTTTTGAAAATTACAGTGTACAAAAATATATTCTCCATCTCAAATGTAGTTTTAAACAGATTAACATGTGAAATTGTTTCTTTGACACATTGAAAGATTGGTGTATGTCAGCCTAGATAAATAAGAATTAAGCTGTTCTGATCCCTATCAAAGAATGTTCTATCAACAACTGTAACTCTTTAGGAAATGTTGGTGKCAGTCCTTTTACCAATTTTTGTTCATAAAATCATRGAATCGTCAAGGTTGGAAGAGACCTTTAAGATCAGCAAGTCTGACCGTCTACCACCATCACTGTGATCCCTAAATCACATTACCCAGCACCAGATCTACTCACCTCTAAACACCTCCAGGGACTCCACCACCTACCTCCCTGGGAAACCCATCCCAATATCTGACAACGTGAACAGTGAAAAAAATTTGTCTAATATCTAGTCTGGATCTCCCCTGTCTCAGCTTAAGGCCATTTCCTCTGGTCCTCTCACTGCAGTCTTGTCCTCAGTGCACCCTCCTTTCAGGTGCTTGTAGAGAGCAATGAGGTCCCTCCTGAGCCTCCTTTTCTCCAGGCTAAACAACCCCAGCTCCCTCAGTCATTCCTTATAAGACRTATTTTCTACAACTTTCACCAGCCTTGTTGCCTTTCTCTGGACATACTCCAGCACCTCAATGCTCTTTTTAAAATGAGGGGCCCAGAACTGAACAGGATTCAAGGAGCAGCATCACCAGTGCTGAGTACTGTTTGTAGATAAATAATTTAAAATAACTTAATGCAGACACAGTTTGCAAATTTAGTTAACTTAAATGAGCTTGACTGATTTTTTTTATATCATCAGAAATAAAGGTGGCCTCATTTGTGATGAATGAACCCCCTTCCATCTATTTACAGCAATTAAAAAATTACATTTTGTACTTAAGTCCTGTACATTGCTTCCCTATTTCAGCTGCTATGCTAATATTTATGACAACGATGATTGCTTAGCAGTGTCTTCAAAATGTTTCATTAATGCAAAATACTTTTCTAATTCTAACCAAATTCCAGTGTTTCAACTGATAAAATCTTTTATACTGCTATTTGACAGTTAACTTCTGTGGACCACACAGGGCTATTTCAGATAATAATTTTGAGACGGTTTACTAATTAAAAAAATCATTTGTTGCAGGACTCGTCTTATTTTCAGTCAGCTTGGGTATGAAGATTACAGTGCAGTTAACATACAGGTTTTAGGGTCTGAAGATACATATGGACCTCATGCTAGAAGGAGTATAGATGGTGTAAGTATGCAGTGGAGTGTTCTTAAACTTTTTCTGACCTCTTTTAATCTTTCCATATTGTTATCTTTTCCACAACTTTAAAGGAAGTCACTATCATCTTGGGAATTTCACCCCTTCATGTTGCAAAGAACTCACTGTCACTACTTAATGTACAAAATTAACACTGACAAGGTCTTTGCAGTRTTGGGTCTTCCAGAAGCACTGATATGAAATCTTACAAAAATGTTGTTGTACTCTGTTTTGGTGTTCTCTGTCTAAAGAAATATCTTACTATAAAAACTTCTGTGGACTTAAATTGCATTAGATGTAATGCTGAAAGACCACATTATAAATGTCAGGAAAYGTCAGCACTAGTTTTGCCTGCACAAAATTAAATTTAAAATTGTCTGTGAGTACTATTTGAGAAATAATCTTCAACTATGTAATTTTGTCTTGTGACTGTATACATTCRTATGTAAGAATATGAATGATGGCCATAGCCACTGCAGCTGTGATATCCATGGTCTGTTTTCTTAATCTAGAGAAAGAAAGTCCTTTCTAAAGGAAAAGGACTGTAAATCATGTTCTCACTTAGATGCACTTYAAATATTTAGACAGTTTAGTTTGTTCCAAAACAGTAGCATTTAATTCTTCTTTGTCAGTGGAAGTCTTGCAAAACTCTTAAGGTACACGTGGCAAAACTCAGCTCTGAGTTTGTTCTTTACAAGTGCCAACACTTAACAGCCAACAGTTTGTATCTAAAGGAAACGAGAATGTAATGTGGAGGACAGTAAACTTTTTACTTRTTATATCTACAGCTATTCTGAGTTTCAGATTCCTTCAGCAAAACAGCAAGAGTTTCTTCCTTAAGAGTGAGCTTATAATGTGGTCTTTTTCATTTCAGGACCATAAAACCTGCAATTTTGAGTGTCTTACTGAGAGTGCAGAATCAAAATTTTGAAACATGGGAACAGATGTTCCAGATGTTCAACTTGTCTGTGTTCTGTTTGTACCAGCTCCTTATGATTATGCCTTGTAATATATTCTTTAATTAAATTGTTCCATAGGAACTTTTCTGTCTCATTGTCCAAAGTGAACATTGAATTGAAGAAGAGCAGTTTCTCTCTCTTGATTGTTCAGTTTGCCTCGCTTACAGTACATTGAAGTAATGTTCCATGTGGAGGAACTACTTTCTGTATTTCCAGCCTCAGTTCCCAGGTCTCATATTAAAAGTAAACAGAGCATTATTGCTGTTGTATGTGCTTCTCATACATGCCTGAAACAGGATGTGAGAGCTAAGGCTGAAATACAGGAAATCATTCTCTTGCCTTCCCCCTTCATGCTTCCTCCAGCCTTTTAGAAAAAACTAGCCAGGGGAGCTTTCATCTGGAAAGCAGACGTGGTYGCTTGAGAAAAAGGGTTGGGGAGTCAAGTTTGCTTTTCCATTTAARATACAAAGTCACAGAATTGCAAGGAAAACGTTTGCACGTTAGGGCWTTAGGTAGGGATAATGTAGTCCCTTAAACACTTCCTTACCATGTCTTCCCATGCAAAATTAGACCTGGTTGTTTGGGTTACAAATCATATACTCAAAACCAGAGCCATACTGTGCTAGATATTAACACATAAGGAAAATAGTTCCTGCTTTGGAAGTTCTACCATCTAAATTTGAAGCAAAGAAGCAAATACCTAAGTGAATCCTAAGACAGGGTAAGTTGAACAGTATTTGGGGCTCAGTGTAGATATGTGGTATGGCTGGATGCTGCTCACGCACATATGTCCAACTGCTGTGATGGTTTTCCTTTGCAGCTGTGAAATCACTGTGTATCCCAGCCTTATGTGAACCTGCATTCTGTAGTCTGAGCTGCTGTGTGGAGTATTGACTGCTCCTGGCAACACAAAATATCCTTGAGAACTRGGAATGGGTGGCAAGCACTTCTTTTTCTCAGACTTCTCTGCCTGTTGATATGATTGCTGCCTGTAACTCTGACAGCTTGCTTTGTCAGCACCTGCCTATCCTGAGCTAGAAAGGGACCTGCATCAACACTRAATAATTTTAGTGGTGTTTGATTTTTAGTATCTCCTGTTCTTTAGGAGGGGCGGGAATTGTAACAGTGACACCGCATCAGTGAGTTCATGGTTTGGAAGTACTGGATGTGTTTCATGTAAGAGGTATTAGTACAAGAGTACATTAGGTGTTAGAGTTTGCAACTCTAAAACTGTGTGTGCTCTGTTTCTGCTAACCCTGTGTTACCTGATGTATAACACATTGCTAGCACTTAGTTTTGCTCTTTTTTGTTTTCATTCTGACACTGTAAGATTAATGACTTCAGTCTGTATACCCAGTTTTAGTACTGTGGTTCGTCCACTCAAAACAGGATTCAGTTTATTTGCATACACCATTGAATCTTGTATCTGCAGGCCAGGGAGTAAATATGGAACTTCATATGGAATGTTGATTATGTCGTACAGTTTAGAATCAGAAAGAGATGTGAATGCATGAATGTGTTTTTTGCAAGAGCATTTCCTATTGATAATTATTTGTAGTAATGTAATGAATCTTGTSATAGCTTTGGGAACACTGACTGTTAAAATTATGCATTTGTTGGGGTTGTTGCATGGCTGCATACTTTTTGTKTAGCAACTCTTTTTACAACAACCTAATGAAACTTTTTAACTGGAAAACTGTTACCTTATCTCTGTTATCTTAATCAGGATATCTGTTTCTGTATTCATAGAAGGAAATTTTTATCTTTCAAGTGAGGCGTGATCTACACAATCAGAAATAATAGTACCTCTCCTACCTTGGCTCTACTAAACTTTTATTTAAGGGTTTGCCTATGCAMGTATTGAGATCATCTATTAGAAATGTGAATCAAGTTTGTAGGATTTCCCACGTGAAAATATTATGGCAGGTATTTTCCAGGCTGGGAGCTTGGAGGTTGAGAAATGAATTGTGTCTTTATGAGGATGTCTGTCTAAGGGTACTTAAAAAAAAAAAAAAAAAGTAATTATGTTTGTGATTGCTCTACCTCAGAGTACTTCTGTGCGTATATGCCACTAGCATTGGAGTAGAGAAAAACAGTCTTTCAGCTTCATGAATGCTTAGGGCATTGCTTTAAACGTACTAAAACAAGAAAGCTTYTCATTATCAAATTTCAGTTGATCACCAGCTAAAAAGTAGGAAGTTTCCTTCTCTTGGTATAACCTGATTCAATCGATCCTCTTTCCGTAAGGGTTTTGTCATGTATTTGAATTGAAAGAGGATTTGGTAGTCTCTTAGCATAATGGGCTCTCTAGAATACCAAAAGCTACCAAATTTAAAAGAATTCATTAGGCAGAGCCTTTAGAGATTTGTGCAATGCTCTAAGCTCTGTAGAGTAACAAAACAAAAAACCCCATCCAAATAAAAGTAATTTTTTTTGTGCTTTCATGAAACGCATCCTATTGTGTTGACATAAAGAGGGATATAAATGCTGGAAGAAATTTCCTGGTATCTTGTAGTCAAACATGTCTTCTTTTGTATTTTACATTGATTTAAGCAAGCAAAGAATTTAATGTAACATTACCAAAGAATCTTTAGAAACTTTGTGTTCATTAACAAAATAACCCCTGACTTCCGGAGAAAAGAAATAACTCTGCTGCAGAACTTCATACTAGTTGGAGTTCTGCTAGAGTAGTGCTATGTGAGAAACTCCTGACCAGTAGATTTTGATACCTTAGGCAGTCCCATTTCATATGTACTTGCACTTGTGGTTTATGACAAGAAGAAGACACTCAGAGACAGACTCTTCTTGTGAGCAGGTTTCACATATTTGAAGATTCAAAGGCAAACAAAGATGGTTCCTACCAGTGCTGGCAAATTCATAAATAGTCCTTGCCCTCATTGAGACCAAATGCTTGCTCTAAGGCTTTCACTCATTGTATTGATTGCAGTGGTAGATCATTCAGTGGCTGAAAATGTTTATAGAGAAGTAATATGTCAAGTGAGAGACAGAGCTTACGTGCAAGGGCATGTGTTTTAATTGGCTAGAGTAGGGAGCACSGAACTGATTGTGTTTACCCTTAGAGGGAGCATCTGCTCTTTTCTCTGGAAAAGTGGTGGGGTTTGCAATTTCTGTTCTCACATTTATCTCCTAAGGCTTTGAATTCTTTTCTGTGGACAGATCTGCTTCCTTCTTGATGCTAAGAGGAGTGAACCTGGCTCTCTAACTTGGCCCCAGGGTATTCTCAGTGCACTTAGAATAAGGGRAAACTTTGTTTGCCAGTTCCACTGAGAGTGAAGCCAAGTATTTGGTATTGTTAGTTACAGTGCTTGATTCTTGGAGAATGCTGGAGAAGAGGCACAGTGCCCTAGGGATTTGAAATACCCAGTAGTTGATTCCATGGTAGCAAAATAAAGATAATGAAAAGTTAACAGCAAATGATTGTGATGGTGKATAAAAAGTCACTGAACGATTTAACTCGAATGCTGAGCTGCAGTTATTTTTCAGTTTCATCAATTTAACTGATGTTTTRCATCTAATCTAATTCCAACCTTTTTGAAGCAGGGTCCTCGGGAAGCTGTTATTTGGCTTGCTGTACACCATAAACAAAGAGAAGCTGTAGAAATCTTCTCCAAAGAGATTGCACCAGCTGGAACTGGCATGGGTAAATACTCTTATCATCTAAGAATTTTAAAGTTGCTTTTTATTCTATCAGCATGAATGGATGCCAAAAACTTAGTTGTGTTAAGCTCCATTGTGTTGTTCCCAGTGAAATACAGTTTTTAAAGGTACATATGTTTGGTGTAGAAATGTGACCCACAGACTTCAGCAAAATGATAAAATGAAAATCCTAGAAGTTCACCTTTGTATTCCTTTGAGACTGTTAATTCTTCCATTGCTGCTGCTGCTGTTCCTTCATGTTTTTTTCCCCCYCTTTTCCTCATTTGTCTGTTTTCCTACATGTAATTTTACTGATGTGCAACAGTGATGTACTTTTTTAACGTGTTCCTAAAGCTTAGTAATGCTATTAAACTTCACTGGCAATAAACTCTGTGTGTTGCTCAGCTGGCAAAAATTTACCACAGATCTATTTATCATCTATAACATTGTAATTTGGGAAGAGATGGGCAGTTGGAGAGTTTTGAAAATTCTCTTAATAYTTTATTATCTAGTGTCACTGCAGAGGATTTTTATTGATGCTACTGTACTTCTGCCCTGTTTAATGTATAGCTGCTTGTGTAAGTAATTAAAACTTTCAGGTATAATTAAAAAAATTTAATACTGCAGTGATGGTGCTAACGATGTGCATATTAATTCACAGTGCACATTAACTACCCAACTTAAATTCTCATCCTGCAGTATTAAGTCTAACCTCAAATTATTCTGTCCTCGASATTTGATTTTGTGATGTATTGCAACTGTTGCAAGWTTTATTTTTTAATTGATGTGTGAGSTAAAATCAAACCACTGGAATTTAATTAAGTCAGTCTTAGTTTTGAGGGTATATTTTTAACTACTTGCCTAAGGGTCATCTAACGTGAAATGATGTGTTCTTCTATTACTTACCAAATGTTTGTTCCAAAAAAAAATACATTTGTGCTTCATAAATGTCATTGAATTATCTACATTTTCTAGGAGTCCTACTGTTTGATTGTTTTCAGCAAACATTTTTTTTTCTGTTCTCCTCTCAAGTCCCTTACGTGTCACCACTGTATCCATCTCAGTTCTAAATAGCTCATTCATGTGTTGTGATTCGGTGCTTAAATCATGAGTACTCATCTCACTTTTATTATCCATTTTAAATGAATTTAAATTTGGACGGCCTATTTTGCGGACTAGAACTTGCATATTGTTGCATTGGCTTCTGCATACTTTAATGAAGACTATGTTTAGGATTTATACAGATCTGTAAAATTAAATTCCATAGGCTTAGCCTGAAACTCTGAAGTTCCATAGCAAATCTAAAATCCTGATTAATGGAGGAATAGTTAGGTGTTGCCTTGCAATTAAGGAATTAATTTCTTTTTTCAGTGGATTAAAATTGTGTAGAAGTGTGCACATTCTTGCATACTGTGTTATTTATTGCAGTCTTCACAGTAGTAGCAGAGAACAGTTTAATGCAGGTTTGGGGTTTTTTTAAAGTTGTGATTATAGAGACAAGGTCAGTGCATGGTAACCTTTTTCCTTTGTTTTTAATCCATACAGTACAGAATATGATCATGTAGAACTAASTGTAAATATTCATTGAAATAGTAATCTAAAATTTTGCAGTTCTGAAGGCTGATTAGTAGGTCAGCATTTATCACAGATGTAAGTTTCTTCTAAAGACTTGGAGTTATCTTTATGAATGAAAAATGGTGTTTTCAGTTGGACCAAACTTATCCTTTCTGTAACTAGTTAGGGATTCATAGTTGAAGTAGTTTCTCCTTTTTCATAGTGGTTTCTCCATAGCAGAAATGGAGAAAACAAAAATCTGTTCTTTTTATTCTATATATGCATAGGCAATCCCCTAGAAAACATACTTTTGATTAAGGAAAGCTGGGTGGATTTTAAAAAAAAAGCTTATTTATAAGATCCAAAACTAAATGGACCTGTACTCGTCTCTCCATTCTTAATATGTGCTTCTTTAATGAAGCAATTGCTGTGTAAATAAGCCATGTTTAAAGTCTGAATGTGTTGGTTTTATTAAGGGATCAGTTTTTTCCTTTTACCATTGATCTTAGTGGAATGAAAAAGTAAAAGGTCTGCACTACATGGGTTGGGTGGAGTATGTGTAGAATTAAAATTGAGTTATTGTAACACGTGAACATCTGTGCCTTCAGGTRGTTGGCAGACTTTCAGGTCTTGTTATCAGAGCTTTCAGTGATGAAGCAAATGCATTCCTGTGCAGAATCGGGTTAGGCAGTCTGTGGAGGATGGTTGGGGTGCGGCATTTGTATCCTGAAGGAACAGTTTAAGCTTCTTAGAACATCCTGTAGCAGTTATTATCAAAAAAAAAAAAAAAAAAAATCTCTTTCTGCTAATGAGCAGCAATGGGAAAGGGGCTATTTCTGGAATCATCTAAGGCATCTGGTGATAAATAGCACTTTTTCTTGCCAGGTACAGAACTGCAGCAAGGTTTTTGGCCTCTGACATCAATGACTGTGTCAGAGGGTATCAGAGCTGTTTCCTGACATGCTTCCATGTGCTGGAACAACCACAGTCATTCTTTTTTTTAATTTCTGGAGGATATGCTGGACTGTTTCATAAGTCACTTCTTTGAGTTGCTGTTGTGGGGCAAATTTCTRTATTACCTGCACCTGGAAACCCTTGTGTAAGCAGAGAAGGGTCAGATTTGGGATCTAAATGTTTAGCAGGCTACTTGTCCATGTGGAATATGTTTAAAGCTGTGATTAAGAAGAATCTTTTTGATTTTCTTTTTTTTCTGTGAGATTTAGAATTTTGCAACACTGCCAAACAGTAATTAGTGGTGTACTAATAACTGCATCAGCTTAATGATGCTTAGTTTCTGACAGTAGTGTAGACTTCCAGAACTTGCTGTGAAGAGCAGAGTAAGGAACTCGTGATGCTTAATTGTCTTGAAACAAGCAGMTCTACAGACAAGACTTGTATAGATGGATAAGTGATCTTGGGAGCAGAAGCCAGAACTGAGACTGCTGAGATTGTTTTCCTAGGTGAATTCTCTAGTAACAGTGCTTGTTGTTCATTTCYCTCCCCATTTTCCCTCAGCTTTTTCCCTCCCTTCTATTTCACTGGGACATTTTTGCAAATGATTACAATTGTCCAAAGTGTCCCAGCTTCAGTGAAAGGCACAGCATGCCCCATGGCAATATAGTCACCTTCATGGGAGGGTAAGAGTGTCCACAGAGAACCCAGAATCTGAGGCTCACWTGCCCTGTGTAAATGTTCTGGGAAGTGAGCACCTGGGGTCCCTTTCTGTACAGTGCTGCACCACTTTTTCTCACAGGGCATTGAATAAAAATAGCTGTGGCTGCTTTTCTTACATGGATAGATCATGACTATCAAAATGTGGTTCTGTGCTTTCCACGTGGATCTGTGTGATGTAACCTCATGTGGCTTTGTTCTGCCAAAATAGTGGAGTTGTGGGGATACACACCAAGTGAAACTGTAAGCTTGAGTGGCTTTTCTCGATGAAAATCCTTKAAACAATGAAGTCCTGTGTTTCAAAGATTGCCCGTTTGGACATACCCCACCCAACTTTCCTGCATTAGTTTTCTTCCAGGAGGTGAGATAGTGAGTATGAGAACCATTGCAAATAACCCTTCTTTCTTGTTTTATATATTCTTTTAATGAGGAACTGAGGAAAAGCAGGAACAAATTACAAATCCTTCATAATGGACACCGGGGAGGAAGGAGAAGTTGTTGACTTGCAGGGTGATGTCACCTGAACTGAAGCACTTCATTCTGTTATTTTTGGACATTTAAGAGTGACCTTTAAGAAACAAACTGCACTTTTAAATCTATACTGGGCAAAAAGGGAAAAAGAAAAAAAATGGAAATATTTTTTCTTCTGCTTGGACTGTATCTAGTGGTTGTGTTGTGCTGTTTTTAGCTACAATCTTTCACCTCAATAACAGTTTGGTGTTTGTTACTCTAAGTGATGTGTGGGCAGTTGCACAGATGATGATTTTCATATATTACAACTTTCATCAAAGAATCTTTAGCAAGCTGTGTAAAGGCAATCAGCTGAGCTTTCTAACATCTAGTAACATTGGAAAGGATTCTGTTTGCCTTACAGATGGTTTCCTGAGATAGTGGAAGAAAGCATAACCACAAAGGAATGTGGATCAGAGTCCTTCGTACTGCTTTCCCTGTAAGAAAGGCTGAAAAGCAGTTCCAGCAATATTTAAGGGGGGACCAAGCTGACTAAAATTTAGGAATGGGGAGTAGAGAAGAAGAGAGAGTGAGAAAGAAAATTTGATGGTTCAGAATAAGGGTGGAGAGTCATAAGAACTCCTGCTTCATCTTTTATGGTGAAATCCAGGTGTTTCATCAGGTGGTTTTAGCCTGCTAGTCACTACTTGTGGAGCTGTGAGCTGGAGTTGGTGGGTAGTTTTATTTTAGCAATAACATAATACAAAAATTATAAATTGTAGGTAAAATACATACTAATTTCTTTAATAGTCAGTACTAAAACCCTATTTTGGTATTTTTCACTTAGGCTAAATTTAAATCACTTGAGTAATCATTTTTTACCTGTTTACATGATAAACTTTGTGAGGGAGTTTTCAGTTGCAGTTTTTCATGCTTTGGAGGGAACAGCAGTAAAATGAAAATAAGTTCTTTTTCTTCTTGTGATTGAAGAGCACATCACAATAATTTGTTGAGGAGTGATCTTCATAATGGTTTACTTCAGAGACTTAAAACTTTGGATGTTAAGCCTTAAATGTCAGAGATGTGATTTTTAGCAAATTTAAAGTCTTAACAGCAGTTTTTATTAAGTTCTGGCTTACTTTACACCATGGGATTTTTGGATATGATACTTTTTTTTTGCATTTGTGTATGTCAAGGATAATAAAATTTAGGCCTCATAAAAGGAGAGCATTGTATAGCTTGTGGTCAATTTGAAAGTGCTGATTTCTCCCCTCTGTCCTCCACATCAGTAGAAAGACAGCCATCCAAAGGCATTGTGCCAATCTGAAA